GAGAATGATGAGGGCAATGAATGTACAAATGTGCTTTACACAATTGATGTATGTATGGATTGTGATGAGTTGTATGAGCCCCTAATTAAATGATTAAAAAAAAAGTCCTGTCTTAAATTTAAGTATTTTAACATTATCTATATCAATAGCACATAAAATATAAAATTCAGGCCCATTTAACATGTACTCAAAAGAGAAACGGAAGCCTCCAGAGAAAAACCCTATGAAGCACCCCAATCCCTTTAGAGTCCAGAAATTAAGCGAACACTTAACACTGTCTCTCAGACAAGATATAAAGTAAATGGCGGTCATAAATGACATGCCCCTCATGAGTAAGATCAATACCTAGTTTACCAAAAGGGCCTGGGATAGCGCTGATCAATGCCCTACTGAAAATCAATTTAGGTGCTCTAAAATGCCGAAGTGTGAACAACAGCTCGTAACTAACCTCTGTAACGTAGATCTTGAAGAGTATCCATGAGATATACCAAGTTGTAAGGAGAAAAACACCACACAGCCAGACATGGTAGAGTAACGAGAGATTCAGGAGACCACTCACAGAGTCAAGAGGATGTAATTGCCTGGGAAAAGAGAAGTTATTCTTTAATTCTATGGAAAAGAAAGCAAGCGAAATAATTTATGAACTTGAATCAGTATGCTGAGAAACAAAAAAAACCCTATTTCTAAATAATGTTGATACTCTTCCCCTTTGACACCCTACAGTTTTCTTTCCCTGACACCTCCCTATGAGGCCGTAAACTGACGATGCATTGCCTGTGCTCCGCACCCTTTTGGTGGTGCACTATGGAGGAAGAATTTGCCAAGCTTAAAAGCTTAAATACCGGAGGCATAATGAAATTTAGTTATTGCTGCTCTGCACTTTGATATTTAAAAACCATTAAGCATGACCACGGTTCAACTCTGTCTGTCTGCCCTGTAAATAGTTCCACAGTGGTTGAAAGCACATACTCCCACCTAACACAAACAATTCTTTACATTTAAAGCATTTTAAGAAACGTCATTAGAATTCTAATTTTCTCTTACCAAAATCTTGACTACATCAATTGGAAAAATTATCATAGCCTTCTAATCACACTACTAGCAATTGTAAGAACCTGGATTTAAACACCTCTGACTCATTCAACCTCTGCGTGTTGTAAATAGGTAAAGAACCCTGGTGGTTCCATGCTTAAGTGCCCAGCTACTAACCACAAGGTCGATGGTTCAAATCTCCCAGACACCCTGCAGGAGACAATGTGCCAATGTGCTTCCATAAAGAAGGCCTTGGAAGCCCTTTGGGACAGTCCTACTGTCCTACAGCCTTATGAGTCAGAACCATCGCGTCAGGAAGGGCCTTTTTTTTTTTTTTTTTTAAGGATAAAGTTACGACATATCAACAATTGTTTCCACATGGAGAACCATGTCACCAAAAAAAAAAAAATTATAAAGTCTAGAAAAAAAGAAAATAAATAAAAAGAAAAAAGCCTACCATCAGTGTCTAGCTTTCCACAAGACTGCACGGGTTCTAACCAAGAACTTCTAAGTTGGGTGCACACCGCGTGCACTGCCCAGAGACGGTGGCAACCACAGAATGGTGGCAAAATTTCTGGTAAATTCATAGACTTTCAATCTCTTGGTGGCACAATCTCGCCATTGACCTCTTAGGGCTATTCTGACATTTCAAACAGCGGCCATCAGGAGTGCCCAGCACAGTGCTTCACAGTGAGGGAAGGGAGGCTGGATGAGGGGAAGTAAGTGCTGGATGCATGTTTTATTTTTAAATAAACATTAAGGGCCGGGAATACACAATAAACAAAACATAAGGCATTGTGCCATACAATTAGTTTTAAGATAAATAAAAATATTTCTAGTAAATATTATTTTTCCACTTTAATTTCAGCCAACTTTAAAATCTGAGCTAGCAATAAACTGAAGAATGCATTTGGTTTTTATAACTAGCAATTTAATAGATGACAAAACTCAATTTTACCGAAGAACTTTTTAAAGTTAGGAATTGAAATCACACTATCATAATCTCTCTTAGTAAGTAAGACATAAACACATAAGCCAATATTCCTATTCGGAAGAACTGGTAACAGCAAATCCCGCATGAAATTGCTGATTGACTCAGCCACAATGCATTGACACCGTGGCCGCAGCAATGGGCTTACACACAACAAGCACGGGGAGACTGACACAAGGTGGGGCAGTGCTTTATTCTGCTGCGAGCCAAGTCCCGAGCAGTCAGAACTGATTTGACGGTACCCAACAACATATATGACCGAGGTAAGATGGGTCATTTTTAACGGAATGTGAGGTAGGTGAAGGTTTACAGAGCAGATTGTCAGTTTTACAGCCAAAATTTCAACTCATCCCTTGCAATCCCCTCAACGTACCACACTGCTTGTTCCATCCTCCTTCCTACGCTGCCTGTGGGCACTACTCCTGTGGTAACCCTCCATACCTTGTAGTACAAGCTGCCCTTTGGATCTTAAATGGTTCATGATGCTAACTTAAGGAGTTGTTCCAGAGGAAGGACGACTGAGGACCACAGCCTGAAGGTTCTACCAGTCCCCATCTTACTAGGAAGCCTACTCTCTTTTATGATTTGGGTTTGTACCACAGTTTTCTCTCATCCAAGCCATGACTTCACGTGACCCTTTGCAGAGCACTCTGTAGTGGTAGCCACGCACCATCTAGTTTTTCTAGTCTTAGGGTTGTGATGTTTGCCGGGTCTATTAATCCAGTGAAGTAATTGCCTCCGTGTCTTTCAATTTTCAACATGCTTCTTTCTTCTACACGAGGAGAGAGTAACAGCTGCCCCTTAGATGGTTGCTCATCAAACCAAGACACAGACCATTGTCTCTGTCAACTGCTTTGTGAGCTGAGGCTGGTGTCCCTTGAGACGGTGGTCCTGGCAGCCCAGGCCCAGCAACTCATCCCTCAGAGTGCTTAGTTCTGGCTGATGCTGTCGTCATTTGGCCCCTTGTATACTCCACCACATGAACAGATATATCTTATCAAAGTTTTATATATTCATGGGACTATTCAACCCTCCTTTCCATACCTGTTCAGCCTACCTGTTTGTCCAAACATCTGCTCCTACCTCACCACTGCTGCAAGGTTCTGTGTACAACAGTATTTGCCTGTTGCCTTAGACTCTTGCAACTCTCCCAGTCTTCTTGCCTTCCTCACATGAACCTTTGCAGTGCATATTGCCTTCCTCTTCCTCACCCAAATAAATACTTGTCTACAGTCTAAACCATGACCTGCCCCACTCCTTTCCCCTCCCACTTTCGGGAACCATCAAAGAATGTCTTGGTGTGAAAATCTTTTCTCGACCATTATAATATTGTTGTTGTGAGGTGCCATCAAGTCGGTCCGACTCACAGCAACCCTGTGGACAACAGAGCAGACACTGCCCTGTCCTGTGCCGTCCTCACACCGTTCTTGTGTGGAGTCCTTCAAGGCAGGATCAGTCCATCCTGTCAAAGGTCTGTCTCTTTTGTGCTGCCCTTCTACTTTACCCAGCATGATGTCCTCCAAGGACTTGTCCCTCTGGACATGTCCAAAGTGCTAGTCTTACAGTTGTCCTTTTGTGATTGACTAATTGCACCTAGCAAAATGTGCTCCAGGATGACCTGTTATGAGGCTATTTCACAGATTGTTATTAAGATTACATAATATTCTGGTAATGCTCATACGCTTATTTACTCATTCTTCCACTGATGGACATTTACCTTGTTTCCATCTTTCTTTTCACTACGGTGAACAGTGCTGGGATCAACAGGTGTGCACATATCTACTCCTGTCCCATCTCTTACTTCTCTAGGGTATATACCGAGTAAAGGGATTGCTGGATCATAAGGAATTCCTATTTCCAGCTGAATGAAGAAGCGTTATACTGCTTTCCACAGTGGTTGAACAGTGCCACCAGTGTCTGAGGGCTCCAGTCGCTCCACGCCCTCATAAGCATGTTTTCAACTTTGCTATCACGAATGGGGTACAGTGGTCTATCAACGCTATTCTGATTTTCATCTCTCAAAAAGCTAATGATCTTGAGCATTCCTTCAGATATTTGCTAGATGCCTGGATATCTTCTCTGGTGAAGTGTCTGTTCAAGTCCTCTGTCCATATTTAAATTGGATTATTTATCTTTTTCCAGGTTTTTATAAATTTTAGAGATCAGACTTAATATATGTCACTGCCAAAATTTCTCCCCATTTGTAGGTTCTCTTTTTACTTTTTTGATGAAATCTTTTGATGTACCTAAGTGTCTTAATTTTTAGGTGACCCCAGTCATCTCTTTTGCCTTCTGCTGTTTAGGTGTTTTTCATTATGTTCAATAATGTATGTCAACTACTAGGGTCCCTTAAATTTGTTTCTATTTTTCCCATTATGATCATTATAGTTCTACGTTTTACATTTAGGTCTTTCATCCATCTTGAGTTCATTTTTACATATGGAGTGAGCTATGAGTCCAGTTTCATTCTTCTACAAATGGATATCAGGTTTTGCCAGCACTGTTTGTTAGAGAGACTCTCTCTTCCCTATTTCATGTGTTTTGGCCCTTTTTCAAAGATCAACTATCTATAGGTAGATGGATTTACTTACAAGTTCTCCAGCCTACTCAATTGGTCTATGTAACTATTACTATACCAACAGCTATTCTAACTACTGTGGCTGTGTAGTAGGTTTTGAGATCGGGAAGTGAGAGAATAATGGGTCACTTTCATATGGCCTTTCTGGTTATGATCTTGTAACTTCCACCAAAAGACTGTGGTGATTAAATTGTATGACATGTGAATTATATACAAATTAAACTATTCATTAAAAAGGATTGTGGGAGACTATGCAAATAAGGTGAATTAGCTTGCCGCTGATACAAATAAAGTACATGGCACCTTGTGGGGTTTTAGATACAAATAAGGTGCATGGAACTCTAATGAGGAGAGTAGTCAGTTTTGCCATCATGCTAGGATTAAAATGAGACATACCAGAGATGGACAGTGGGGAAACTTTACCATCACCAGGAAGAGACAGGAACAAAGCACATCTTTGGGACCTGTGCTGAGTACCTCCATGACTCAGGAGACAGCTGTACCAGGAGAGATGGTAAGAGACACACAGAGGGAGCAGCAGAGAAATAAGTGGCAGCATAGGCAGAACTAGGAAATCAGCACAACACAGCACAAGGGTTTCTCAGCCCACAAAGAAGTGTGGCTGGGCATCTTCAGGCAGGAGGCTTGCTGGCACGGTAGAAGACCTCTGGGCCCTTAGTGGAGCTTGGTTCCCTGGCCTACAGAGCAAGAAAGCTGAGCACCTTTAGGCCGGAGACTTGCTGGCTGAGTAGGATGCCTCTGGGAACTTAGTGCTGGAGTGAAAGAGCTCACCCAAGCAGGGCAGGGGCCTGACTATGAGCACAGATGAGAAGAGGCTGTCTTGAGCAAAGAACTATATCCTGCACTTTCCTAGATGCCGACTGCACCTTTACTTCTCTAATAAGCCCCATATTGGTCTGTTGGTCCTGTGTGCCCACTGCAACAAATACTGAATGCAGCAGAGGTCATGGGAGGGATGGCTCTTGTCAGAATTGACAACAAGGCGGGAGAAAAAAGACATGCCTGACCTCTGTCTCATAGGAGTAGTGTGAGGAACAGAAGGATTTCTTTTGTCTCCCCAAAATATGTACCAGACTTCGCTGCTTAAGAATGACTGTACAATAGGTGATCAGTGAAAGTAGGTCAGAGTTTATTCTCCTTAACATCAGCCATCTATAGTGGCTAGACTATTAGTCTGACTCACCCTAAATAAGACCCACTCCCTTCTGATAAGGATAGTGGTGGTCTGTTTACTTGGAGGAGATACCAGAGAGGTATCTCCTGATTTAAACTTTGCCTTCTCAGCTACACTTACAATTTTTTCATCTGCCTGAAACTCATCCTGCTTAAAACCCCAAAGGTCAGAAGGATCGTGACTGAAAACCAAGATCAAGCGAGCTTTTGCCCTTCAGCTCCATGGGAGGTTTCTGTCCTCCCTGAGCTCGCCTTAGGACACCTGCGTTACCGTTTGACAGGTGTAGCGCCCCAGTCAAACTCCCCACCTGGCACTGTCCCCGGAGTGGGTTGCGGCCGGCCGGGCGCTTGGCGCCAGAAGCGAGAGCCCCTCGGGGCTCGCCCCCCCGCCTCACCGGGTCAGTGAAAAAACGATCAGAGTAGTGGTATTTCACCGGCGGCCCGCAAGGCCGGCGGACCCCGCCCCGCCCCCTCGCGGGGAGACGCGCGGGGGGGCGCCGGGGGCCTCCCACTTATTCTACACCTCTCATGTCTCTTCACCGCGCCAGACTAGAGTCAAGCTCAACAGGGTCTCCTTTCCCCGCTGTCCCGCCACGCCCGTCCCTTGGCTGTGGTTCCGCTGGAGAGTAGGTAGGGACAGTGGGAATCGCGTTCATCCATTCATGCGCGTCCCTAATTAGATGACAGGCATTTGGCTACCTTAAGAGAGTCACAGTTACTCCCACCGCGCTTCATTGAATTTCTTCACTTTGACAATTAGTGGGTGAACAATCAGCGCTTGGTGAATTCTGCTTCACAATGATAGGAAGAGCCGACATCGAAGGATCAAAAAGCGACGTCGCTATGAACGCTTGGCCTCAGCAAGGCAGTTACCCCTGTGGTAACCTTGGGTTGCTGCTGCCGAGTCTAGGAAACCAGGCACGCCCACTTTTACAGTGATTTTTAGACCAAACAAGTCATCTTTACAATGATATAAAGCAGTGGCTCTCAGCCTTCCTAATGTTTAATACTGTTCCTCATGTTGTGGTGACCCCCAACCATAAAATTATTTTCGTTGCCACTTCAGAACTGTAATTTTGCTACTCTTATGGATCGTCATGTAAATATCTGATATGCAGGATGTATTTTCATTGTTACAAATTGAACATAATTAAAGCATAATGGTTAATCATAAAAACATTAGGTTTTTGTGATATATATATATATATCATGAGATATTTATTTTTAATTACAAATAAATGAAATTTTGCCTTGAAGCATGGTGTAGCATGGATAACAGTCTTCACGCCAGGTACTGGTAGGTGGGCATATCTGCATGTGGGCAGCCCGCAGGGAAACGGACAGAGGAGCAGTGTCTCAGTTCCTAAGACCATCGGAAATACATGTTTTCCAATGATCTTAGGTGAGAACCGCTGATATAAAGTCTCCCCATGAAGGGGCACCAGGTTTACTTTAATGGTAAGAGAGTACTTGAAGAGAAAGATAAAGAGCCAGGGTTTGTGCATTATTAAGCATGTAATCAATGTCACTGAATTGTACAGATAGCAACTATTGAACTTGCAAATGTGTAAATGTGTACAATAAGAGAAGTATGTTTGGGGGCTAAGTAGAATAATGTGCTGTCACTCAACTGCCACTTCAACTGGGCACTGGACCTAGCTAAATTCTCATTTCCTCAGATGAAAAAAATTAAGAGCGCCACAATGTTATGATTATCTGCTACAACACAGGAAAAACAAGGAAAACAATATAAAAGCACAGGCTGTACAATTTAGTAAGAACAATTTTGTCTACTATAAAAGATATATCTAGGCCTATGCAGTGAAAATAACACTAGAGAGGCACACACTCCTTAGAGCGAGCAAGCAGCAGTCTGCTCTCATAAGGGCAGCTTTTCCCCAGGCAGAAAGGAAAGACAAATGGAAATGGGGAACAGGCGAGGAAGTGAGAAGAGTATTGGTGCATTGTGGGGATTGCAAGCCATTTCACAAAACAAATTATGTGTTAACAAGTGAATGTAAAATGAATTTGCTCCGTAAACTTTTACCCAAATCACAACTAAAAGTTAAAAACAGAAAGAATCCAAAAGTAATTAAAGGTAAATCTAACAAACTATCATTGCTTATTTCTGGAAATAAATTAACGAAAATAGGAGGGCAAAGTCTTTTTCATCAGACTATATTTTGTATACATTTAGAACTTAAGAATATTTTATCTATCAGAAAATACAAATTTTTTAACTTAAAAAGCTGAGTCTAAAGAAATTCAAAAAGTAGCAAACATCTAGGAAAGATGAAACAATAAGGACCGACTCTTTTCATTATTACTTACTTATCCTTCCGAAGGTCCATAGCAGTGGTAATCCATGCTTTAGGAATATGACCTGCGAGGAAAAATAAGAGACCATGATCCTGAAGTTAAAACACTTTAGGATATGAGGTCAATGAGATGCCCACACACAGACACCTAAACCTCACTCAACAGGCTACAATTTCAGCTGCATAAATACCCCATTGCCCCTTGCACCCACCTAGAAGTCTTGCCATCTGAGGTAGAAAGAATAATGGGCCCCTAGTGGTGTCTACATCCCAATCTCTGAAACCTGTGACTATACTACCTTACAGGCCTACGAGAGTTTGAAGATTTAAAAGAAACCATATTCTGGATTCTTCCCTTGAGCCTCGAAGGTCCTTGAATAGGACAGCAGGAGGGTCAGAGTTGGAGAATGAGATGTGATAACAGGAGCAGAAGTCAAAGGGAGAAAGAGATTTGAAGATGCTACACTTCGGGCCTTGAAGATGGGCAAAGGAGCCACAAACCAAGAAATGGCAGCATCCTGAAAAGGGTAATAAATCAAGTCCTCCTTTCAAACTCCAGAAGCAACACACACACACACACACACACACACACACACACACACCAACACTTTGAAAGATTTCTAAACACAGGCAATTGTCACTTGACACAATCCAGTATATATGAGTTTTATTAGGACCCCCAAAAACATAGTTCAAATTTCAGTCACAGTTTATATAAACTGTGAGCAACTACAGGGGCTTACTTGCTTTTCAGTCCACTGGACATTATTAAAATTTCATTATCAAATATTTTGAGAATGATGATGGCAACAAATGTACAATGTGCTTGACACAATGGATGTACGTATGGATTGTGATAAGAGTTGTACGAGCCCCCAATAAAATGATTTTTAAAAAACCCAACAACTTCATTCTCACTAGTCTATCATTTTAGGAGGTAATAATTGAGCAAGAACCTATGTTACGGAAGGAAGAAGTTCAAGCTGCACTGAAAACATTAGCCAAAAGCAAGGCTCTAGGAATTGAGGAAATACCAATGAAAATGTTTCAACAAGTTGATGAAGCACTGGAAATACTTACTCATCAGTACCAGGAAATCTGGAAGACAACTACTTGATCAACTGACTAGAAGAAATCCAAAATTATACCCATTCCAAAGAAAGGTGAAATGCACAAATTACAGAACATCATTAATGTCACATGCAAGAAATTTTGCTGAAGATATCAAACAAGAGATGCAGCATGACAGTGAAAGGAGTTGCAGAGGTTCAGGCTGGATTCTGAAGAGTACGTGGAACAAGGGATATCATTGCTGATGTCGGATGGATATTGGCTCAAGGCAAAGAATATCAAAAGGATGTTAGTGTTTTATTGACTATGCAAAGGCATGCAATTGTGTGGATAATAAACTATGAATCGCTTTGAGAAGAATGGGAATTTCAGAACACTTCAGTGTGCTCATGTGGAACTTGCACAAGGATCAAGAGGCAGCTGGATGAACAAAGTACTAAAGCACGGTTTAAAATCAGGAAAAGTGCGCATCAGAGTGATAGCCTCACCACACTCATTCAATCTGTATGCTGCACAAATCATCGTAGAAACTGGCTTATATGAAGACTACACCGTGGAGGAAGGCTTATTAACAACCTTTCGAATGCAGATGACACAATCTTGCTTTCTGAAAGCGAAGAGGGCTTAAAGCACTTACTGATAAAGATCAAGGATGTGAGCCTTCAGTGTGGATTACAACTCACTGTACTGGACCAATAGATAATATTATGAGAAATAGAGTTGTCAAGAATTGTCTTGCTTGGATCCACAAGCAACACCCATGGAGAGCGCAGTCAAGAAATCAAAAGACATGTTGTACTGTGTAAATCTGCTGCACGAGACCTCTTTAGTACTGAAAGGCAAGGAGGTTACTTTGAGGACTGAGATGAACCTGACCAAGCTATGGTATTTTCAATCGCCTCATATACATGGTGCAAGTTGGATACCGAATCAGGAGAACTGAAAAATGTGTTTCAATTATGGTGATGGCAAAGAACAGTGAAAGTAGAGTGGACTGCTCAAAGAACAAACAACGGTATCTCGGAAGTACAGCCAGCATGCTCCTTATTAGTGTTTGGAGACGGTGTCTCATATACTTTGGACGTGTCAGGCGAGCGCAGTCCCTGGAGAAGGACATCAGGCTTGGTGAAGTGGAGGAGCAGCAAAGGAAGGCGGCCCTCAAGGAGATGGACGGACACTGGCTGCAACCAAAGGCTCAAGCATGCGAACAACGGTGAGGATGGTGCGGGGCCAGGCGGGATGTCATGGCTGTACAAGGTCCCTGAGCCAGAATGGCGCCTAACAACAACACAACTGTCACATCAACTGTAGTCAATCACAGTACTTCTTTCAAAGTCTGCCAGTGATCGATTGGTCACTGTGTACCTGTTACTCAGTCCAAGTATAGAAAACGTCTTAGACATGACCAAAACACCGTGAGGGAACGAGCTGCTTGCTAGACCTGGGGGATCAGGATCATAAAACCAGGGACAGTGGGTATTACATACTCTTGTGTCAACTTGAAGGTGATAAGAATGAAGGGGTGGAATCTAGCCTGTCAATCAGGTCACAGCCTGATGATGCCTCTTTGAGGGCATTGCCTTCTTATGAGGATTCTGGGAACTTCCTCTCTTCCTCCCTGGAGGTGGGATTCTCTCTCTATTTGCTTCACCTTCCTGAGGAGGAGACCTGAGGAAACCACGCAGCGAAGACCTGTGGAGACAGCCATGTGATGCTTCCACTGCCATTGGATCCACAAGAGTTTTCACCCACCGGCCTATGATCTTCCTGATTTGCCATCATTGCGAGTGGCTACATGAATCTAGAGAGGAATTTATTGACTACTATCGGATATATGGGCTGAGTGGACTTATGGACTTGATCTGGACTGGGTTGAGATATTTTCTTGATATAAAATTACCCTTTTATATAAAGCTCTTTTTTTTATTTTAATCATTTTATTAGGGGCTCATACGACTCTTATCACAATCCATACACACATCAATTGTGTAAAGCGCATTTGTACATTCATTGCCCTCATCATTCTTAAAACATTTCCTCTCCACTTAAACCCCCGGCATTAGGTCCTCATTTTTCCCCTCCCTTCCCGCTCCCCTCTCCCTCATGAGCCCTTGATAGTTTATAAATTGTTATTTTGTCATATCTTGCCCTGTCCGACGTCTCCCTTCCTCCACTTTTCTGTTGTCTGTCCCCCAGGGAGGAAGTCACATATAGTTCCTTGTAATCGGTTCCCTCTTTCCTACCCACTCTCCCTCTACCCTCCCTGTTTCGCCACTCACACCACTGGTCCTGTAGGGCTCATCCGCCCTGGATTCCCTGTGTTTCCAGTTCCTATCTGATAAAGCTCTTTCTTATACATATGAGTGTCCCTGGATTTGTTTCTCTAGTCAACCCGGACTCACAGACACCAAGGTCAACTGGCTTAATATAACTCACAAATCCACTGTTCGACATTCTACTTTGGTGACTGGATCTTACAAGTCTATGAACTGCCATCTAGGGTGCATCTACTGGAAAGATGATAGAAGTAAGAGACATATGGAAACATTTAGTTCAATGGACTAATGCACCATATAAATATCAGCCTCCACGACCCTGGACACCCGAAGAACTAGATGCTTCCTTGGTACATGCCCAAGGACAGGTCTTGGATTAAGCGAGAGGAAAATGTGCAACAGAACTCAAAATCATAAAAGAGACTAGGCTTTCTGGTCAGAGAGTGACTGGCAGAACCTCAAGACTATGGCCCTTAGTCACCCTTTGAGTGGAACTTAACTCCCTCCCCTGGTTGAAGAATCAATCATTGAAGTTCAAAAGAGCAGCATTTACCCGAGGACCAAGTACAGAGGGTCAGGAAAGAGGGAGGGGAGGGCAACAGGAAGCACAGGTAAGAGGTGAGATAAGTGATGATTCACTGACAAGAACTGCAATGTGTATGACCTGTTGAACGTAAAACTTAGCATGTGCTCTGTAAACCTTCATCTAATACACAAGGGAAAAAAAGATAACGGAAATTATTTTCAGGAACTGTTTGAAGTCCCCGCAGCCCCCTCCACTGTCGCTCTTTATTAATACCACATCACAAACTTATGAAAAAGGGTAAGTTCTTTCTGAACCCACAGCAAACGACACACAATATTTTCCCTTAAGCAAGTTTTCTTTGAGCAATGAATGCTGGGCTAATCACATACAGGCAGGCCTGCAGTTATGAACATCTGACTTAGAGACAACTCTTCCTTGTCCTTTAATATAGGGCTTCAAACTGATTCTGTCATGTCCAACAAAGCAAAAAAAGGAAACAGACCTGAATTTTTAGAATTTCGGTGATTCATCACAGGAACCACAATAGCAAAAGAAAAAGTAAGGCCAACGTCCTGGAACGGAATTCTGGGAAGAGGCATGGGTGGTGAGCCCATTCAGGACCCTGATACGAGACTGGGTGTTGGCAGGACGAGGGTGAGCCGCACACATTCACAGCAGAAGGCCGGCTGCCAGCTTTAAGTGGAGAACAGCCAACGTTGAGCTTCATTAGCCATGAATGAACCAGGACAAACTGGTTTTCAAAACCCTGCCTGCTTTCAGGTGATTTCAATCTCCACTCACAACACATTCTTCATCACTGTCACCTTCACGCGCAGCTTTAAGCAACTGAAAGAGTTTGAAGCCTTTTCTTGCACTAACTACAGTTAAGTAATAACAATAAGCACCTGTTCCAACTGAACTACAAATTCTTAAAGATAGTTAGGAACAGATCTTAGATCTTATATTCATTATATGGGGACTGCCTGTAAAATAATTGTAGAAAACACACAATGATTTTGAAAACGACATTTTCTAATGAGTTAATACATATACTGTATCAAAACACAGAAATTCTTACCCAGAAAGTAATACAAAACGCAGAAATTTCGAATAAGAAATAGCGATTCCACACAACTATGTTTAACTAGTAAGAGCAGAGACCTCCTAAATCGCAAAAATTTGTATTGCTGTGGGAAAAAAAGAGAAATAGAATTAAGTGATACATCCAAACAGAAGTTCTATTTCATACACTTTCTACTTTAACAGTCAACATAAAGATCATTGTATAAAAAGTGTATTCCTGAATCAAAATAAGAGACTATTTCTGATGTCAAACTATTTAAATTATATGCTATTTCAGTGATGCGGAAGGAGAAATGTGAAGGCATCAACCCACACAAGTGCTCAAGACTGTGAAAAGAAAACAAGCAGCCGCTACATAGCACTTTACACACATCAATCCGTAGAAACATCACAGCAACCACATGCAGGAGGTCTGCTATGGTCTCCACGGTACAGGTGAAAACACCGAGGCACAGAGATTGAAATGGAGAGCTGATATTCTCAACTAACAAAGGGAGGATCTGAGCCGTGGGTCCAGGCAGGTTAGCTTCAGAGCCCCAATCTTATAGATAACACATAGTGGGGCCTCCTCCGACCCAAACTCCACTGCCGTGGCGTCGCTCCCCACCCATGGGAGACACCATGCTAGCAGCGAGGGGCGCTGACGTCCCTGGCGCTCACTTTCTGTGCAGCCCTGAGCTCTTCCCTCCTCTTACAGCTGCTCACCTGTAAAATATGGCTGAGCCAGCTAAGTAGTTCGTTAGTGGATACTACTCAACTCTAAGGATCTAAGAGAGGGGGAAAAAACTCATGTAGTGTGCTTTCCTGAAAAAAAATAAAACTAGAACTACGCTTCTTATGAAACAAGAGTCATTCATTCTTACCCCTCTCTCACTTCAAAAGTGCTCATGGAGAAAAAAGCTTGAAAACGACTGGAAGGAATTTTCGAAAGCCTTATGACTAAAGATGAGCCTCCCAAAGCTGGGCTCCTTTCATGCGTACCCTCGGGCTGACCCTAAGAATTCCGGGAACTAGGATTACAGTATTAGTTAGGTACAGGTGTATCTTCATGCCCATCTGCAGAAGCCTGTAAAAACCAAACCAGTTGCGAGCGACTCCCATGTGTGTTAAAGTAGAACTGAGCTCCACAGGGCTCTCATAGCTGTGACCTTTCAGAAGCAAACCACCAGACTTAGTTCCAAGACACCTCTGGACAGGTTCAAACCACCAACCTTTTGTTTAGTAGCCCAGAAGAGAATATACAATACGAAGCTAATTATGCAAACCCTAGTCTATAAAATATATCATTTTATAGAGGTATGTATATGAAAATGCAAGGAGCCCTGGGTTATGAGTGGGGCTGCTAATGGCAAGTCAGCAGTGTGAACCCACCAGCCACTGCATGGGTGAAAAATGAGGCTACCTGCTCCTGTAAAGAGTCATATGCTCCGAAGCCCTTTATAGGACTCTATGTGTTGCAATCAACGCAAAAGCAGCCAGTTCGGTTTTTAGTATACGAAAGTACACGGTAAAGGGTCTGGAATGGTATTCCTTAAGCTAGGAGCAATAGCTCTCTCGGGGGCAAAGACTGAAATTGGCTGTGAAGTGGTTAAGGGAAACTTGCATTTCATCTATTTGAGTGTTTTAAGAGGGTCGCCACTGTACTCTTGCGAAACTGTATGATAGGCAGCACCAAAAATGATACTGCTTATAAAAAAACAAACACCTTCTTTTAAGTACTAGTATTTCTTTCTCTGATCAGCTTGGCTGTTGAAAAAGTAGTTACATGGCCATCCCCATCACATCACACCCCAGAAGCTCAGAGTGGGGGAGGAAAAGACGTGAGCTCTTCCAGCAACATCCTGACCATGACTGACCTCCGTCCCTCAGCAAAGAACACACAGGGAGACTGTGTACTGTGCACCATGGACTAAGGCTAATGACAGAAGACTCAACTACAGTGTGTCCATTTTGGTCTTCTAAGGAAGCAGCCTACTCAGGTGGGCACAAACAAAAATGGTTATATAAACTTGATGGATGGGAAACTATGGTCTTGACAACCAAGCAAGATCCATTATTTCAACTATTCTTGCCAAAATCCTTACCTCCCTTTCTATACTGTTCTTTTACTGCACCTACCCTCCAACTCACTATTTCAAGATGGAGAACAGCATCCACCTAGGCAGACTGGGTAGACCATAAACACAGAGATGTCCCAAATACATATTAGGACCAAATAGTGAAAGACTAAGTGTTCAAGATCAACATTCTGCCTCTGCTGAATCTGAAGGTAAAGTTAAATACTACTATCACAGAATAAACTTCTGAAACATAGGGATAAATCTAAAGTTTTTTAAATTATGAAAAATAGCCAAATCGTACACATTGACATCATATGACAGCATATCAACTATGCCAACTGCTCGTCTATGCACACTCTTGTACACTTGTGCCACGAAACAGATGGCCCTGCTCCAGACCATGGTCACCAGACTGGGTTTAAAAACCTAAACTGAAAGACCGTTGAACTGTCCCATTCAAACCAGCTGAAACTGTCATTTACCTATATAAACCTTGCCATGTGCAGTGACTGACAACATACGGAGCTTACTGAGTATCATTCCAGAGCCTTTACATATATCGATAAAACAATTCCTTATCTAACCCTAGTTTTCCACAAATGTTTTGATGCTCCTTTTCAGTCTAGTTACTTATAATGCCCTAAGCTCATGAGGTTCTAGTTCAGAGAGAAGTTGTTTGCCTGAACATCACCCTCCGCTCCCATTCCTGTAAGGTCAGTTACATTCGTGGCCTGGTAAGGAGAAGACAAGCAGGGCGCAGTAGGCTTCTGAGAGCAGCAAAAAGGTTGTCACAGCTCCCCCCCTTACAATAAAATCTCACCAGGATAAACCTTTCCTCTCCAGATGTTATTCTGAGAACTGCACACCTAGCTTTAATGAATCAGATGTAGCCAGACAGACATGCATATGCCAAGACAATCTTTACCCTGCCAAATTCTAGTACATGTAATATTCAAGTGAAATCTTACCTGTATGATGGGAAAGGGAAGATAATTCATGTTGTTGACGAAATAGAGAAGGCTATAGCTATAGCCCATGAACGCTCCAGCCAGTAGGAAAAAAAGGTGGTATTCATTTAAGCAGCTTTGAGCAGCAGGGCTATCCAAGCTGGAGGAAAAAACGTATGTTAACGCCAACAGCATCAGGAATGCATACCACTGTTCAAGACTCAGTATGTACTGAAGGCAAACCTTTGACCGCATTATTTTAGAATGTTGCAAATCCTCACAAAATGGTTTCTTTTAGTTAAGTAGATACAAACGATTCACGAAATCCTTTCCCAATTCATGAGACACTGACCTTTATTCTCTAGTTCTGTTCCCCAGAAATACGATACGAGCAAGAATATCAACTATGATACAAAACAGCACTGCCTTTAGTGCTCTTGTGTTTTTTGAAAAAGCTGCACCTGGAGAATACTGGCCCTTGGTTATCACTGCGGGAAGACAAGCCATCACCATCACGTCCATCTGGACTGGTATAAATACACAAACCTGAAAATGCTCCACTACTGAGACTGGTGGTTAAAAAGACTGGCCTAGAGAGCTATTTCCAAAAGATCACAAGAATAAAAAACACACACACAAACCCTCTGGAACACAGTTCTACCCACACATGGGGTTGTCATGACTACAATTCAAATGAACACAGGCAACCTGTCTGATTTGGTGTATACCTAAGGAGATGCCATGGCTTGGGCTTCTCTCTGTGATGCCTCAATACTAGACATTCCCTTGTGTGGCCCCTGGATGTTTTGCCTAAGAAGCTGCTGTAAGAGATATTGGATCCTGGGGGATATGAGGCTTCTAAACTAGGAGGGGCCCTCACAGCTGCCTGAAGCAGATCTTAGTTAAGATGTCGAGGATAAGGCAGGGGAGCTAGTTCCCAGAGAGCTGTGGACTCTATGACCTGGATGAACTGCCATAAGGACTCCTAGTAACAAGGAACTCCTAATGCTTCCCAGCCGGCAGCCTAAGGCTATCTTGTCAACTAATTCTGAATATTTAGTTAAATCCAAGAGTAGGCCCTGATGGGCACTGCTGTAAGGGACTATCCTATCAACTAGTTATCCTATCAAGCTTCCTCATCTACTTGGTGGACAGGACACTCTTACATCCCTTTGGGTGTTTCTATCACATGTCTGGGTCCACAAGCCAGCGCAGGATGATTCAGCAGTAGTCAATCTCAAGAGGGAGGAAAGACACACCTCCTCGCAGCTCTATGGGAGGGGAAACCACTTACTGGCTGACTGTTTTCTGAACCGAGTTGTAAGAAGAAGGAAGGAAATTCGTTTTGCCAGAGACTCTCCCTGTAAAATTGTCAGTCAATATATGAATTGGGTGAATTGTTTCTGTAACACTTAAGTTTATTGCTACCTGCTGCTCATTTTCACCCACACTTCCGCTAAAGACACAGAGATGTGTAGAAAATTAAAGATTCAGCAGATGAACAGTTAGAATTTCCTTATTCACAGGAGTCCCTATTCACAGATGTCCTTTACCATTAAAGGTGTAACACATAATTTTCACTAAAGGAAACTTACCAGATAAGGGGAAAAGCCTACCTGCCTTATATAGCAATAGGTGGAGACTAACAAGACATCAAATGTTCCATACGACTAATGTGCCTTTTTCTAAAACTCCCCAAACCCACTGCATTCGAGCCAACCCTGACTCGAAGCAACCCCAGAGGGCAGGGCAGAGTTGGCCTGTGGGTCCCGACACCACCACTCTTCACAGGAGTAGAACGCCTCATCTTTCTCCCAAAGCTGCTGGTGATTTCCACGATGCCACCAGGGCTCCGCCAGCTACCTGGCGGTTACCCTACAAAGAGTAATTGTCATGACTTAAAATGTACTTGTCGTGCTTGCTTGGGCAGCACATATACTAAAATGTATTTGTCTTTCATTTTTATGAAAACATATTTATTTTCTCATTCAGACTTTTGTAGTTTATTTTTACTACTCTTTTCATCTAGTCTTCCTTCGAGCTACATGCCACCTCCTCCAAGAAGCCACCCATGGATTCTCTTGACTTTCTTGCTACTATAATATCCATGTGTCCACGTCTAAATTTTGAGTCCACAGTCTCAAAAAGGTTCGAGTCTATGCATGAATCACTCTCATAAATCTCACAGCATGTAGCTTATTGCCTTGCATATGATATATGGTTTTTAAATCACTTTTCAATAAACATCCAAACGTGATGTAAAAGCACTGTCTGTGGAAGTGTAAAACGCAAAGAATGTCCATAAATTATCGACCTAGATGGTGACTACAGAAGATAATCAGAGACAACAGTGTTTGTCATTACCTCTCAGCACCAGTACAGGGAACGATGAGGAAACTGTACTGGCCCTTGGTTATCACTGCAGCGCACCACGCCATCAGCATCCCCATGGAAGCGTGAACAGATGAGTGCATGACCTGCTGTGGATGAACGATCTTCCCTATCAGGGCCAGTCTGGAGCAGGGGATGCAAGGCACAACTGCAAACAAAGCACACCACGGAGGCTTTCTGAGCTGCAGCCCAGGAAGCTAGAGCACACACACAGCCCCTCGCATCCCTGCATAACCATTCCAAAAGGCAGGAAGAAACGAAAACATCCACGCCAAATGCAATCGTGGGAAACAGAAAAGTTATTCCCCAGGATGTCCCCCTAGCACATGCCAAACCTAAGGTGCTGTTTGCAAACACATGGTCACTGAGTACACACTTGGAGGTCAACTGCTTAAAGATTATCTGCCTGAAGGTTGTCAGTCATCTAAGGCAATCAGGCCCCATTGTCTGTCCCAGCTAATCAGGCCCCAGTCCCTGCTGATATGAATAATGGATTGTTCCCCTGAAGGAGAGCCCAAAGACACCTCAGGTCAAGCCAACTTAGGGATGACCAAGGTTAGGGGGCCATCTTGACTCTAGAGCCCACCTATCTTGTTACATGTATGCCTTCCTGTGTTGAGTATGCCTACTGCACAACCCCTTCTTGTTATGCATGTGGTGACCTGTAATCAGGGGGACTGGCATGCCTCTGGAGTGTATATAAGCCTTGGTTGGAAATACAGTCACTCTCTGTGTCGATCTGGCTCCTGAGGCCACGATCCAGGAGGTCCCAGATGGTCCCATGCTCTATCCTGTCTGGCGTCTCTTTAATTTTACTCCTCGATTACACAACCACCCCTGGGACCCATTCGATTGTGGAGGCTGGTACCCACATGCAGTGAAGAAATATAAGTGCGTTGTGACCAGATCTAACACAAAGATATATACTCAACAAGAGAAAAAGAATCTGGAGTAGATGGAAAAAATAATCTGTAACTTATCAAGGGTTGGTGGGGGAGGGAGGGGGAAGAAATGAGGAGCTGATATCAGGGGCTCAAGTGGGAAGAGAATGCTTTGAAAATGATGATGGCGGCATATGTGAAAATGTGCTTGACACACTGGAGGAATGTATGGATTGTGATAAGAGATGTAAGAGCCCCCAATAAAAGTATTTAAATTAAAAAAAAGAAACTGGAGAAAGCTGAAACCCAAGGACAGCATGGTTTTCATTTCTTTTTCATTAAAATGTCTTAAAAGCTCAACTAGTTAGTGTCCATCTTAGCATACTATTAAGTGTTATAATAAAGTAAATAATAAGATAAAGTTTCTGCCCTTTAACAAGTTCGATTTCAGCACCTGAAAGTCAATCTCCATCTATGAAAAACAAGCCACAAGATGCATAAATAATGACAACACCGGCTTCTAAAATAAATGCTGTCTGGGAATTTCAGCACTTCTCTGAAATCCCAGAGTTTTCTGGGAGTGAGTTGGTGGGTAAGTGTGTGTGGGTACTTTTAGACAGCTAGCACAGCATCCCTGACCTATCTACACAGACCTTCTTCTTTGGCCATATACAAGTATATAGGTTGTGTGAGGGGCTGACAGACAATTGTAATGGGAAGGCTGTTAAGTCCTGACCACTGTGGAGAAGAGACTGCTATCACTACCACCCCTAACCTGGAGGACGGTGTGACTTACCACCCTGCACTCTACAAGCTGGCTCCCAGGACTAAGTCTGTTACACACTGTAACTTCTCCCTTGAACATCATTTTCCTGGCCCACTAATGCCACTCACCCCTCAAGGTTTAACTTAAAACTTCATCTCTTACAGGAAGATCTCCATGTTGGTTAAGTGTGTTGTCCCATATATTCCCGTAGGACCCAATGTGTTTTCATTAAATGTGCTTGATCTTTATAGTCAGCCTCCCATAACTGTGCTCCCCTGGGGCCATATTAACTTATCTCTTTTTTTTTTCAGGGGATAGCATGAACGCAGTCCCCTTATCTCTTATCCCCACACACTGCCCGGCACATCGTACATGCTTAAGAAGTACTTGTCTAATAAAGGAATGAGCCAAAATTAATAGTCAGGCTTTAAGAATGGCTGGCTGGGGAAATATATATAGAAGATGAGAAAGGTACATGAAATAGAGTTGGGGGGAAAAAAACTGCTATAAACCAGAGTGAAAGAGATCCATTAGACACCAGAGGAAAAGATAACAGATAGTCACCACCACTGTTAGAATTTGACATTTCACACTATATATCTAGCAAGGAACAGTTGAAGGCCCAGAGGAGGCGTGATGTTCTGGTCAGGAAAGAAGTGTCAGTACAAGGCTCTGACGACGCCACTGGGACACACTCAGAGCTCTAAAGAGGTAGGAACACAGGAAAGAAACAGAAAATCAAAAAGCTATGGAATCTAATAGTTAATTCTTCTAAGGCAGAACCTATAATTCTTGTCTTTTCAAGGGGGGGGCGGGAAATCACAGAATTATAGTTGTTTTTTTTTTTTGTTTTTTTAAAGAGACCTTAGAAATCACCTAGTCTGATATCCTAACCTATAAATTCTTTTTATGCTGCACCTTCTGAATCACAGCTTGACAACTATTAAAAAGGTTACGTCTTTTTTTTTTCCCAACAGAAAAACTAGTACACAAATATATTCTATGGTAAAATATTCAAAGCAGATGATTCTAAACACACTGCTTTAAAATGTAGCACAAAAGCCAGACCCACACAGAGAAGACCCTTAGTAAAATAAATTCAGATAATTTTGAGATAGTTAACATTAGAAACTCACCTGTATAAAACTCCACATTGAAAACATTTATTATTACTATTACCGTTGACAACAGCAGGAGGTAAAAGATTGTATATGAACTATAGAGATCATTGAAAGAATCTAAAACACAAGAGATAAACAAGTAGTTTATTCAGTTATGTAACCATATCAAGTATACAAGAGAAAAGAAGTTTAAACTGGAACTATAATTTAAATTTTGAAAAGTATCTTTTCTTTAAGAATTTAATCATATATTATTGGTAGGTCAAATAAGACAGACAGCAACTCAATAACTACAGAATGTGGACCTGTCTTTAGGTATTTTGAAATGATAATAAAATTTCTTTTAGAAGACCCAGATACCTTAAACAAAATACTACCATATGCAAATATACTTCATCATGTGAAATAGAGAAGTCCGATAATTAGTAATAAGCAAGAAGTTTTTTAAAATAGAAACAATACTTTTCACATCACATATAAGCAAATGAAATTAGCCCCTATAATAGTAAAATAGGCAGTTTTGAAATAGCATACTATAAAAATTATCGAAATGAACTAAATTTATTTTAAAGTCATGATATTCCTGTGAAATAGTAATTATAGTCACACTTTAAAGTAGTTCAACACTCAATATACCTTTTTAAAATCACGACAAATGTGCATACCCCTACATACACGTACATGGATATGGATCTGTACACAGTCTCGCACTAAGCTGTATATATGTGCACAGATCCACACCAAACTCACTGCAAGTGGATTCTGACTCCTCGGGGTTTCTGAGGCGGTCAGTCTTCACAGGAGCAGACAGCCTCACCTTTCTCCTAGGGAGTGGCTGGTGGGTTTGAACCAACCTTATGTTAGCAGTCCAGGGCTCACTCCACACACCCACTAGGTTTCCTTATGGATAAGGATGTGTGTGTATGTGTGTGTGTGCACTCCCTGGTGATACACTGAACTAAGCAGTGAGCCAGCAATCATTTTCCATGATTTTTGAGGCTCCCCTCCTGTGTGTGTCCCCTAACAATATGAAAAAGAGCAACAGTGAGGATGTATAGTTACTCTACTAAGAAGTAACACAGAAACTTTTACAAAAGTGAAATCCATGGAAACAAATTAATGAAATATATTTCCTAAGCACCCACACTCTCACCAAACACTATATAGTCCAAAGAATGAAATGATTCATGTGAACAAGTCAATAAAGAGCACAATTTTTCTCAAAAGACGTTGTAAGTCACAAGCTGAAAAGAACAAGAACCCTTCAATGGGGAAAACCGGCATGAGTCCAATCCAATCTCGAGAAAACGTGCTAAAGAACTCATGGGCAAGCAACACCGAGCAGCTTTCACCCCACGTGTTAAGTCTCAACACTGGTTGGTCAGTGGTTCTGGATGACAACACCAGTGTGGTGAGGTGCAGCTGGACAGCCACCCTCAGTTAGTGATGCTGACCTGGGCACGGCGGCTATAAAACACTCCCCACTTCTGCACTGGGTTATGGCTTAGTGTCATTTGACCTGTGAGACTCATCCGAGAAGTGATTTCTATATGAATAGCTACTAAAAACATAAAATGACTTTTATTCTTTAGCAGGAATGTAAAGCTTCCACTCCTTGAAAACGGGCATTTTCTTCTGAAAAAATAAATTTAAAACACACTTCTCACTTTCCAGAGCAAGAGAACTCTGATGAGTGGAAGACACAGGATTTCAAGCGTGCTCGTGCGTCCTATCCTTAGGCAAGACTCTTAACACTAGGCTTACGGACATTGTTTTTAAATAAGCATTTCTCATATACCTGTCTCTGCAGACGTGCATCAGATCGACACACGAGCAAAAGCGCATTTTCTTTAAAAACAACTTATTTTATTTAGAAACAGCATTATTATGCATTATTAACTTATGAATAAAACTATGTGATACTACATATTTATATAAAATGTACATTTAACATACAACCTTTGAGACAGTGGGTTAGACAGATAGTAAGGATTCCTTGGGCGGGTCAGTATGGCCATCTCTGCTGCATTGTTGGTCTTTACATTTGATGTTGATTTTATAAGAACCTTTTTCACTACTATTGTATTTATTACTATAGTAATGCTTTCAGGAATGAAACTGATTTACTGGTATTAATATTTAATCTACACTCCTGTCAAATTGATGTGTATCCATGGACACAGGTATACCACACAAAGAAATAAAGAAAATGAATTTGGATATATGGTCTTGTTAAATGGATAAGTCAGCAGAAATGGTAGGAGGTAACTGTAAACAGGTGCTATAATTTTCATTGGGTGGATAAAACTGTGTCAAAATGACATGTCCTGTAAACCTAAGGCTAAAGAGCTGAGAGCTTATTCCAGACGTCCTAGCATTCACTTTTTATTCTTCAGTTCTGAATGTGGCAATGTCCAAACCCTAGACCAATTTATTACCCAGAACTAAAGGGTGGGTCAAGAAACCCTGGTGGTGTAACTGCTAATAGGAAGGTAACAGTTCAAAACCACAAGTCGCTCCGAGGAGGAGAAAGATGAAGCTGTCTACTCCTGTAAAGACTTAGTCTTAGGAAACCCAACCCTACTCTGTCCTACAGGGTCGCTAAGTCTCAGAATCAACTCGATGGCAATGAGGGAATGGTAGGAAGGATAAAAGATAAAAACATGGTGCTTAGCATGGTTCCTGGCACAAAATAAATGGACAAAAACAGGAAACTATCATCATTATAAAACAATAATTCTATTTTAATGAATTTACAATGAATTGACCCAAGGACTCTTAAAGCAATTTTGTCTGCGCCCCTGTTTTTCTCTTCATCGATTGTGGGCATTACACATCTCATCTCTTCTCATCTTTGTCCCTAACGACCACAGAATAGAAAGGAAGTAGCACGCTTCACTTAAAAAGATTAAGTCATTATGTGAAAAAGGAGACTGACCAGGTCCGACAGATCACAAAATGGAAGCTATCCATGCCATTACAAAACTGCCAAACCGTGACACTGCATCACTGCCAAACCAAGGATCGTGGTCCAGCTAAGCTGACAATGACTGCACCCATCGCTCGCCTCACACTGGAGTTCTGTACTGCCAGACATACATTATGAATGGACAAAATACAGATTTTTAACTATTGTCACAAATGCAAAATGTCAGATGAGACAGTAAGTGAAGAATAGATGTATTCAAATTTTAGACATATTAAAATATATATTTCTACCTACAATTTAAAATAGATAATGGGGACAGTCGTCATGCCTAAAAAGACAAATAATTTCAATAAAAACTAAAAACTCACTTCCATTGAGTAGATGGACTCATGGTGACTGTACAGGACAGTGTAGAACTGCCCCTGTGGGTTGCCTGTCCCTTTTTATGGGTATAGGACGTCTCCTTTCATCCGGGCTCCTCTAACAGCAAGAAGCTGCCAAAAGCCAAGTAAGGGTTCATTTCTATGGTCTTCTACTTAAGAGTTCCTCTCATTAGATCACTCATGGCTTCTGATAGGTTTAGAACTATTATTATATAATAAAAATGTGGTTTGTGTTATGACAGGGGATGCCTCAACCTTATCTCAAGTGAAGGCTCTAGTGCGTCAATCTTCGAGGTAATTAAAAATGAGTTATTTGAAACATATTGCAATTTTCATCTTGACCAATAGATTCTACAAATATTTGCCCAACGGAGTGACACTCACCTGACAGCCACTGTATTGGATGAAATAAATCAATTCTGCTAAAGATGATGAATACTGTAGTACAGATGGGTAGAAACAGCACTGACCAAACAATACTAGAAACTATTCTCCAGCCTAAAACCTGTAATGAAGCAACACAAGACCCTCAATTAAGAATGCAGTTAAACTATTTCAGTTATGCAAATCTGATGTTGTATACAGGGTACAAACTTCACACAGCACTACAGTGCTACTCGTGAATGTTCACACTCAGATCTTACTGCATGCAGCTATGTATAACTGCAAACGGTCAGTGCTATTAATAACAGTACACATCACCGCCCACCGCCAAGACCAAACGCCCCGTCACTGAGTCAATTCTGTGGGTTCCCTAGACTGTAACTCTTCATAGGAGTGGCCCAGTCTTTCTACTCCCACTTTCTACTGGCGGTTTCAAACTTCGGACCACGAGGATTGCAACCCAACACGCAACCACACCACCACCAGGGGATAGTGTAATTATTAGTGAACTGGTAGTGCCTTAGTCCAGAGTCAAGTGCCCCATCAAACAGCACGTTTTTAAAGGAGACTGCGATGATCTTATTTACAGAGTTAACCATCTGTTTAGCGTTGATGGAGTTGCATTTCATATTGAAAAGCTGAACACATTTTATGGGAATCTCCTATGTATTACAAAGTCCCTGAACAGGTCAAATAGTGAACATACTTCAGCTGGGAACTGACCAAGAGGTTGGAGCTCCGAACCTACCTAGAGGTCCCTCAGAAGAGGCCTGGCAATCTACTTCCAAAAATGTTAGCCACTGAAAACCTCCCGGAGCACAGCTCTACTCTGACACAAGGGATCCCCTGGGGTCGGAATCGACTTGTTTTTACAAATATATCGTCACTGTGCCTGCAGTTATTAGGCAAGGGCTGCACTGGCCAGCATCACGTTCCTTTCTGAATGCCCAGTGCTCACAAGAAACACGTGATGTACTGGTGAAGCAATACAAAGGGAGCCACAGAAAGGCTTTCAAGGATCAAAGCGACAGGTGGGTGCTTGGGAAGGGAAAACTGAGTGACTGAGGAAGACGGGTCAAAAGCCTGGGCATCAGTGCAAGAAGCCAAGCTAACCAGCACATGTTCACGTGTGCCGTCTGCACGAGGGAGAAGGAATAACCCCGGGCACGTTCGGAGGCAGTCTACGGGGCTCTGTGAGCGCAAGCTTTAAAGAACAGGTAAGAACGGAAGACCCGAAAGTGTTAGCGCCGAACCCGGGGCAGGTGACAGTCCCTCTAGGGAAGAACCATGCTGAAAGGAACCTTCTTTTTATTTCTTTTCATGCGGCTCTGTGGCTTCACCAACGTCGAGGACCTCACTCTGGTCATCCCTCTCCCTCTAACCAGCTTCCGCGAAGGACGCTTTCCCCCCCGCCCCTCCAGCTTCCTCGCGGAAGACAGAACCCGGGAACGTTTGCTAGCAAAAGCTCCCTTCCTCCGGGTAACCACTCGACTCGACTCTCCTCCCCGTCCCAAGTTTGCGACCAGTCCGGAGGCGCTCCTTCCCGCCCCCAATCAAAGAGCAGCTGCAATCCGTTTCCACGGGTCGCTCCTCCGCACGCGCTCCCACCGCCCCCGACCCCTGCCCGGCGCGCACGCGCGCTCGTGCCAGTCTGTCCAGCCCGACCCTGGCAGCGGCCGAGCACGTGGCACACTGAGCGTTACACTCACGCGCCACAGGATGTCCCGCGACCCGCCGGCGCAAGGCCGACTCGCAGCCGTGGCCATGGGCATGGTGAGTGACCCCTACTCTGAGGCGTACAGAAGCCGGTGCGCCCGCCCGCCACCACGGTTCAAAGGGAGGGAGGCCCCGGAAGGGCCCCGAGGGGGCTGCCTCGAAAGGTGCCTGCGCGAAGTCAGGCTCCGGCCCCAACCAATCCCTCCGAAGCTTCGTCTCAACAGGCTCAACCACCCAGAAAACGCGTCCTCCAGTGGGGGTTGTGGTTTCCGGACCCGTCCTATGGAGTTTAAGAAGTCCCTCCGAAGCAAGGTCCGGCGGGGCGCCAGAAACCGGGGGCGGTGCTGCATGCTGGGAACTGTAGTCTCGGTCTTCTGGAAGCGAGTGCCGGAGGAGGAAGAGGAGGCGCGTTGCATTCTGGAACTTGGAGTTTTCGCGGCGTTCCAAAGAACAGCATGCTGGGAGTCGGCGTCTTCTCTAGGTGCCCTGTGGCATGTTGGGAATTGTAGTCTTTTATAAAGCCGGAACTAGCTTCAGTATTACCCTACATTACAGGATAGAGGAATTTTGGTGACCCAGGAGTTAAGCGATTGGCTGCTAACCCGAAAAAGGCGAACAGGCTGAACTCACCAGCTGCTCTGAGGGAATAAAATGTGGTTTTCTGCTGCCTGTGAAGATTTCAACCCAATTTTGGAAGCCACATATAGGGCAGTTCTACCCTGACCCATAGGGTCACCATGAGTTGGAATTCATTCTGTACAGTAAATCATGCCCTAGAGGACAATCAGCACAAGATTATATAACGGTGGAGCATATGCGTTAAAGAAAAAAGAAAGATGGGAACCAAGTGACACACGATTCAGGCTATGTCTGACCAAATCGGAAAGGCCAGCCAAGATTGGATCTTTGTGTACTGAGTTGGTAGTGTTGTTCTTACAGCACATGAGAAATCAGTAACTTCTGCAAAACTTTTGCCAAATGTTTTATGATAATGTCAGTCAGGAGGCATCTTTGAGCCATTGGGCCAGAATGAAGGACAAAGGAGATGGCCCTCTTTGTCTGTCTTGGTCTTGAGGGGGAACCCTTAATCCTTTGTATCTGTTTTGTGTGTGTGTGTGTGTGTGTGTGTGTGTGTGTGTGTGTGTGTGTTACATATATAGTATACCTGTAGATATGAACATATGTAGATATGAACCATCTGCTCACTGTGTATGTTCCTCCTTCCTGTTTCTTTCCCTCAGCAGCCTGTTCCTCCTGGATCACCAAGGAGATTGCTCAAGGCTACTGTCCTTTCCTGCCTCCTTAGACTTCACTCCAGCAGCTTGGCGGTCAGAAAGCGAGGGTGGGGCCCTCAGGATGGCTTGTGACTAATTGTAAGGCTTAGGATGAAACCAGGGCTCTGTCAGAGGTGCCTTTGCTCTCAGGCACTAACTCGATTGTAATCCTGCATTTAGGAAATTTTGGTAAAATGACTTGCCTGATTTACTTTATCAAAATCCTGAAAGTGAAACTACAGAATGTAACCATCTCCACAATCTGGCCAAAGCCAAAGCCTGAGAGTTGGAACCCACTCAGCGCTGTTTATTACTGGATCGTAATGCTGCACTTAGAAAGTTTGGGCAAAATCGTCTGCTTGATTTCACTTTAACAACTTCGCCAGAGGGAGACCACACGCTGCGGCAGCCCGCTCCACGGTCACGCCCACTGTCATGGAGTCCTTTCTGACGCATCGCGACCCTGTGAAGCTGAAATCTTTACAGGAGCAGACAGCAGCAGCATCTCTTGGGGAGAGGCTGGTGGCTTTGATGGCAGACCTTAAACTAAGGGTAACAGTCCGTTGCTGGCTTAAAAGGGCCAGCACAGCATTTTGTTTCCACAGCAGGTTCTCGTGGATTTTACTGAAACTGCAAAAGTCTCCTTCCCGAGGGGTGCGTTTGGTTTTCTAAGGTTTTGATTTCTCGTTCCAGCTCTGCCAATGACGAAGCTTGACCTTCCTGGCGTCTCCACATCTTCATTTGTAAACTAAGGAAAAACAAAATACTCTGGTGATGTGAGGATTAAGTGAGAGATAACACCTGGTAATGTGAAGATATGCTTTAAAATGCTAACCAAATGTTGATCATCTCTTATTCTCCCTCAGTGAAGAAAAGGGTCTTTCACCAACCCAAGTTCTGCTTAATGAAATCCCTGAATGCTGTGAGCCTCAATGAGATCCATGGATGAATACTGTGAGAATGTTTTAATACCCAGTCACATGCCATAGTCACCATTCAGTGCCCTAGCAGGTCGGCCTTAGTGATACACTGAATGAAGAAGCTCGAAATCCAGCGAGAGAATGTGAGATTGTACCTGACATTGCTCTGCATAGTACTAGTTCCTGAGCGACTTTGTGGTTATGTATACGTTTTTGTTTTTTTCAAAACCATGTTACTGTTGATCATGCCTGAGTCACTTCAGGACAAACTGGGACTGTAAAGGCAAATCAAGTTTCTGTCACAAAGAAACCATCTATCTGACGGTAGGAAAAGATTCTGAAGTCTGAGTGTCTACATACAATCACATCACCGTATTTAGTTTTGTGGTAAAAACTACTTGCCCAATTGTGGGATATAAAGAGGCTTTTCCCCAGCTTGTCTCCCCCAAATATTTGTCAGACCTAGGACAATGCTTGCAACTCATGGTAAATGATTGTCAAGTTATCTCCCTGATGGCATCAGCCACCCAGAGCAAGCAGACCCTATTGTCTGCCCGCCATAGGTGGGGCTCACTCCCTGCTCTTAAGGACAGTGGAATGCTTTCCCTGAAGGGCTCAGAATAAATCAAGTCTCCAGCTCAAGGACAATCAAGGTTAGGCCACCAGCATGAATCTAGGATCCGCCCCATCTTGTCACATATGTACCCTTAATCCCTCCTCTTCCTATAGTGTGTACACCCCTAGATCATCCCCCTCCCATTGCTGTATTGCCTATGGTATACTACCCCTTCCTCTGGTGCATGTTGTTACCTGTAAGGGGGCTTGCATGCCCCCCCAATATATGTTGCGGATTTGAATAAATGACAGCCACTATAATGTCTTGATATTATATTGAGTCTTTATTATAGAAGAGTCTTTATTCGGTCTTAACTGGACTGCTACAATCTGAAAGCAATTCTTTGATTCCAGTCCTGAGTCCACATCTCAGTCCATCTTTAAGGCCAAAAAAACTCATTTATCACCTGTCTAGGGTTCAAGCAAGCATGAACAGAAGCATGAACAGAAAGCAAAATTAGTGGATTAATTGTAACTTCAAGAAGAGTAAGCATACATTCCTTATCATAAAAGAAACAACACTCTGGAGGAGAAAACAACGGGACTGACAGTTCCGGGGGGACATGGGAGAGGGGGAGGAGGGGGGAAGGGAAGAAGAGGGGATAACAAACACAGGGACAAGGGAACAACAAGCGATCCAAATTGGTGGGGAGGTGGGTGTGGGAGACCTGGTAGGGCAGGATCAAGGGGAACGTAACA